CATCGTGAGCACTGTGGTGATCAAACGGGTAGAGGATGGAACAAACTCCGCCCTAGGTAAAGCCAGTCCCTGGCTGTAGAGGGACTAATTAGAGCAGAGAGACAAAGACTCAGCTCTCGCATATGGAGTCAAGCTTACTTTAAATAGGTTAAAGATTCATTACAAATTATGATTTTTCTCCCTAGATGCCCTTTGATAACAATAGATTTTTTTTGTTCTCCTCCAAATTGGACACAATCAAAACAGCAAGAGTGACTCAAAGACTCTTTCCCTAGACCCAGGAACTCACTTTCTACTGTGGCACCGCCCAGGTGGCCCTTCCTAGGTTCTTTAGATTGGAGGCTCATCCCTGAAGTAACCCATGGGCGAGTCTGCCCCAGGTGCAGGAGGGAGGGCTGGAAAGCGGGGCGGCTGGGTCTGCACAAGCGGCCAGCAGTCCATCTGTTCGCAGTGTTCTCTGACCTTGGCTCTCCAAGGGAACCAAGTCTGCTTCCCTCCACTTAGTCACCTGTCTTGGCTCTAAAGATCTCACCCTCGGTGCCTTTGGAGACGAGACTGAAGTTTTCTTCAATGGAGGACAGATGTCTCTGAAGCAGGTTATTGTAATGTTGAAGTATAGATGATAAGGCCATCAACTGTGACTGTAAACTCCACAGTCTTCCAAGAGTCACAGTTATGTCTTCATTTTATCTGCTGGAAAGAATAGATGAAAGCGTACAGTACACAGAAATTAGGTATTTTAATGGGTAAAACAGTAATACAATTTAGGACTCTATAATTCAAATGGGATTAATCAAAGATCTGTTTTAACAACCAGACAGCGTTTTTACTTGTTAAACCACACATTTGCTGCAGCATGCCCTTGGATATTTATCATGGCATTGCCCCCCCCCCCGAATTAGATACAGGAATAGATAGAATCTAGAAATAGATTGCTAGAAGAGCCATCCAAATCGGCTTTGGGTCCTAAGAGCTAGAAATCTTATGCCAGGGTAATCCTGGACCATATATGAAGGCAACAGTCTCGAATGCATATTTTCATCACCATGTGTGTGAATTTCCTGCCGAATGCAAGTGAGGCCATGCATCTCAGGGCAGGTTTAAAGTGCCTGCCACAAGCTCGCATTCTTTGCCTTCCAAATGGAATAAAATGATTGTATCTTATCTTGACTTGTCTGGTTGGATAGTCAAATGTAGGCCAGATTTATCTGTATTGGAAATAAGTTTTCTTGAATAGTTTGTCCCCAAAGCCTAATCAAATGAAGAAGTCAGAATGGGGTAGAGAATCCCAGTGGAGAAACAGGAAAGACCTTGACTGTCGTATGAATGATCAAGTTAAACACTTTAATTCAGAGGAGAAGGCTTCAATGGGCTCCTTAGTGGAATTACAGTGTGCATAAAGCAGCTTAGAGTTGTATCTGCTCCCTTCCCTCCTCTCTCTCTGCTCCATGCTCTCTTTCTTTTCCAAGTCTGGATGTTATGGGAACTGGGCAAGCTAGACTGTCACCAGCGCCCAGCATGGCATCCTCTACGTCAAAGGGGCTGGACCAAGTTTGTGAAAACGCCTGGGCTCTGAAGCGCACTGCTTGAGATGTGGCGATGGAGCTCTGCTTTAAATACTGGCCCGAATGGAATCGCACCTTTGGGAAACGTTACTTGAAGGGCTTGGTTGCCTCTCCCGCAAGTTTCACTTTTACGGTGACAAGGGACAAATTGGGATCACCTGAAGAGTAGGGAGGCGGTGTGAGGTACCTTTAATATCTGTTCATCTGTTATGAGTTATTGTGGCTCACCTATCTGGCTAATGAATTTCCCCAAAGCTGTGGGTAAAAACTGAGGGGGCTGTGTTCTCTTTCAAAGGTGCAGATTCTGTGTGCCCCTGCCTTTCTTGATCGGAACTCTTTGTCTTTTGTTTTAGAAATCATTTTAAATTTGTTGCCAAGATTTTTTAAATTGAGGTATTTCGCATAAAAACCTACATTTCCCTTTTCTCTTGGAGAGCTGACAGTAGTGGGAGGCTCCCTTCTTCCTAGCTGCTGCTTGTCAACGTATGGTCTCTGGAGCAGCAGCAGCAGCAGTGTCACCTGGGAACCTCTGAGACACTGTGGCACACAGCCCAGAAATCCATGCGTGAACAAGCCCTTCCCCCAGTACTCGGAACTTGGAATGTCGAACTGCAGGCTCTACCAATGTACTCTATCTACAGCCATCTTGTGTGCAAGTGTGTGTGTGTGTGTGTGTGTGTGTGTGTGTGTGTACTTGTTAGTGTAGGTTTATAAGTGCGTGTATATTATATTTACTTGTTAGTGTAGATTTATAAGTGTGTGTGTGTTATATGTACTTGTTAGTGTAGGTTTATAAATGTGTGTGTGTTACATGTACTTGTTAGTGTAGGTTTATAAATGTGTGTGTGTTACATGTACTTGTTAGTGTAGGTTTATAAATGTGTGTGTGTGTTATATGTACTTGTTAGTATAGGTTTATAAATGTGTGTGTGCTATATGTGCTTGTTAGTGTAGGTTTATAAGTGTGTGTGTGTGTTATATGTACTTGTTAGTGTAGGTTTATAAGTGTGTGTGTGTTATATGTACTTGTTAGTGTATGTTTATGAATGTGTGTGTGTGTGAAAGCCACGGGTAGATGGCTTTTGAAACTGGAGTTATAGACAGTTGTAAGCCATCATGTGAGTGGTGGAAACCCAACTCGGGCCCTCTGCAAGAGTAGCAAGTACTCTAAACCACTGAGCCATCTTTTTTTATGGTCACTTGGTTATTACTTTATGATCATGTGTCTGTGTCTGGGTATGTGTATGGTATGCTATGCTTCTTCAGGTGTTCTTGGTGGCTAAAGAAGAACATCAGATCCCCTGGAACTAGCAGTTGTGAGCTGCCTCTTATGGGTCCTGGGACCTGAACTCCGATCCTCTGGAAGAGAAGCAAGCACTCATAACCACTCAGCAGTCTCTCCCCATCCACCTTTCCATGTTTCCTTGGAGGCACTTGAGTGCTCTGGAACTCATTACATAACCCAGATAGGATTTGATCCTCTTGCCTTATTCTCTGAGTATCTGGAATTGCAGGCCTGTTCCAAGAAGCCTGACTTTGCCCAGTGACTCTCTGCTATCTTTCACTTGAGAAGCCCCTGAGATTATAACCAGGAAGAACTTGGTGGCATGCATGGCATCCCTTCTAAGCTGGTCTGCTCACTTAACCAGTACTTATGAGCTTTTGGAGATTTGAATTCCTCTCCTCAACAGGATCACAGGATTTGAAGGCACAAGATTTTCCTGCTTCCAGTATGGATCTGAGCTCCTAAAGATGTGAGGTCACTGGAGATCTTTAGGAACCTAGCATCATCCAAGGGACGTCAGGTCTTCTGTTAGCTGCTGCACATGTGGCAGTATGAGGAAACTCAATTAGAACAAACAGATAAGGGCAGATTGAAGTCTTGGGAGAAAGAGAGGCCTGGTTGGAGTCCCTAATGCATGCAAGTAAAATGGTTAGATAGAGCCTTATTTAATTACACCACAGGCGGGAAAAGAGTCACAGTCATCTCGGTGTTTTTAAGTGCGTGTGTTTTAATAAATTTTTTAGAATGTCTGTGTGTTTTTTGCCTGTTTCTTGAGCAGCCATTAATTACTTAGCCTCACCCTAAAAATAAGAATACCTCCATCTCATTTTCAGGGAACCTGCTACCAAAGCAGACTCTATTTGTGGGCAAGGCCTGTAAGTCTTCCTAGGTGTGAGCCCCACACAGCTGATCAACCTTTGTGTTTTGCTTGCCAGCTGCTACTCTTAGTAGATGCACATCTACGTAGATGCACGTCTCAGTAGAGGCACATGTCTATAGATCAGCCTTAAGTTGTGTTATCTTACAGAGCCTAGAGATAATGTTTAGCTTCCTGAAAGAATCATGAAGTAATATTAATTAGTGCTCATAAGATATTCATGTCTCTTGTCTTTCCTAGCTCCAGGGCAGATTAAGTGGGGTTATATGGCCAATTCTAGACAATGGCTTGGACCTTAAATAGAATTCTGTGTCCCTTTCAGTCTAAGGCCATTAAGAGAAGATAACTCTCCAAGCTTTTATGTTTCCTGCTTTGGTAACATTAGATAACATATTTGAGGTGATGTGATTGCAGACTAGCAGCCACTTGGTCCCTGTTTTTATACCTGAAAGAGTTCTGTCAAGGACAGCCACTTCAAGCTCTGATGTCAACAGGACTTAAGCCTTTGGCAATCTTGCATGCCAACTGCCATAACTCAGAGAAGCTGACTTGGCTGAGGAGCATGTAGGGGTTTCAGTGGAAGTCAAAATAAAGAATCAGCATGGATTGCACCTAGGTAGAGCTGGCTCAGGACAGGAGTGGTCAGCAGCTACTTGGTGCATGGTCTAGCCTGGATACAGCAGCACAATTACTTGGTGCATGGTCTAGCCTAGACACAGCAGCATAGCTCTGCAGGCTGTGGGGATGCCTAAGATGATATGGGAATGACTACTGGGGCTGTGATAAATGGAATGAAGTAGCGAGGGACTTTGGCTAATTGCCTAGGATGTGGTTCAAACCCATGGAAGATAAAGGCTGGGATATGTGGGCAATGCTGCGAGAAGGACAGGAGTGAGGAGCAACCCAGGGACAGGAAATCAGAACCTGGAGCCCATAGCCTAAAGATGTCAGTGTAAGTCACATGGGTAAAGGGAAGTGTCTAAGAACAGCGTACAAAAATGAGAAAGGGAACCAGTATTGTGGTTCAGAGAGCAAGTTCCTGTTTCTCCCTGCTTATATCCTGTTTCTGCCCAGCTAACTCACTTCCTGTCTGTCTATACAGAGCACCACTCTCTGACCTGCAGGCAGGCTTTATTTGTATAAGCAAGACATCACCACATGGTGTAGACTCCTGACGGGCACCAATACTGGAGAGCTGAATGGAGGACGTCACAAAAGTGAAGAAAAGACTGTGGGGCCACGCATTAACACAGGAGACTGGCATGGAAAGGAGAAAGCTCAAACTTGTGCGACAGAGTTGAGAGGAGGCGGTGGATTCCACTCTGCCTCTCCCAGGCCAGCAGGGCAGTGGGGGGACAATGCAGGCGAGCTCTTTTGACCTCCCGCATTTGAAAAGCCAGGCTCTGTCTGTGTCCTTCCAGCATATGGCGGTTGCTACGGGTACGGGGCATCCCATAGGCTCCACAAAGACACCCCAGTAACAGCCCGGCCACGGCTCCCCCTTCTTCCCCAGAGCCCACAGAGGCTCTCAATTGGATGAAACTAAAGTGTCTATCAGGGCAGCAGCTTCTGCCGCCCCCGCAAAGGGCCATCCTCAGGCTGCCTGCGAGGCTGGTTGGTATGCTTTTTATTCAGCGTTGTAGTAATTTGCTAAACACTGTTTTGGTAAATGTGAATGTGGGGTATAAAAATGCAGTAGGTTGTTAATAAGAGACAAGTGCGAGAGAACGCTCAAAGCTCCGAGATGCACACACAATGCCTACCCTCAAGGGCTAGATTCCCCTCGGGCTGGTGGGGAGCCGTGAAGCCAGGTTCCCCATCCCCTTTACGGCTCTCTCTGACCTGCTCCTCCCCTTGGTGCTGTGCGGTGGGCGTACAACTGTTGCAAGTAGGTGGCACAGCTGTTTGCTCTGACTGCCTCTGTACCTTGGGGATCCCAGCGGCACAGCTCACACTGCGGGATGGAAATGGCATTTATTTGTTAATAAACTCACCCTATTTCTTTGTTCGAGGGAAAAGAGGGATCCCACTCACCATGTTGCCAGCTACATGTCACTGTGCAGAGCATGCCACAGTGGCTAATGTTCTCCAGATTCTCCCTTGCATTGGAAATAGAAGCCATTAGAAAATATTGGGATGGTGTGAAGATTTCCAGAACACCTGCCTCCACCTCTTACACTCACATGCCCAGCGCTTACAGTAAACACTGCCCTTCTTTCTCCTTTGGTGCATTTTCATTTACAAGTGTATGTATATTTTATAAGCGTGTGTGTACATGCTTCTTGGTGATCTACTTGTAAATTTCCTAAGTGGGGAAGCCACACAAAGGTTACCAAGCCATGGATGGAGTTAAATAGCATTTTCTAACAGCAAATAACAAGATAGGAATCAGATACATATGGGCAAGGGGGAAAATGAATCTTCAACTGGGAAGTTACTGAGTGGATGTGACTGGGGAGCCAGTTTTCTGAGGAGGGGAGTCTGTTTTCCTCTTCCCTGTCAGATAAGTCTCCAAAAGCTCCCTAAGTCATCATTGCAAATAGTTTCCTCTCCCAGATCGCTCTCATTTTGCGCTGGGAACACAGTCACGTATCCTTACTGCTGTACCTGTTTCTCCTTCCTCCTTGCCTGGCAATAGCTGTCAACACGTATTTCACCAGTTCCCACGGATGGCACATTCTGCTTATTTGACTTAAACTATCCATAACTATGATGGATTCTTTGCCTGGTGCAGAAATAAACTGCCTTTCAGGCCTCTGTCTAGAGATCTCTGCAAATCAGAGAAAGAGGTGACATTGATGGCTGCTTGCACTGTCGTTATATTATCTTTATTAACTAGTCTGTTGTAACAATAACACTGGGAAGCTCAAACTACTCCATCTGGTGAGCAAAGGTCCCAGTGTCGATAAAGTCTGGACCGGGAAAAACACTTAGAACTTACATCCCTGGGCAACCTAGGTTGACAGTTGAAAACCAGCATTTTATAGCCATAAAATTACTGTGGTATTCCATGTTTATTTAGCCCTTTTGCCTTAAGATTTTGGGTGTTTTAAATAGTGATCAATAATTTGGGAGTAGAGGTTTTATGTTAAACTTATGTCTTGCTATATAAGTAGGCAGAACATATTCATTTGTTCATTCAATATTTTAAATGTTTTGCTACATCTATCTATTAATTCAGTGTGTGTGTGTGTGTGTGTGTGTTTATGAGCGTGCCACAGCATACATATGATACATATGAAGGTCTGAGGACAGCTTGCAGGAGTTAATCCTTCTTTTCTACCACAAGGTTCTGGGGATTGAACTCAGGTTGTCAAGGTTGATGGCAAGTGCCTTTACTCAGTAAGCCATCTTGTCCGCTATCATTAAATATTTTAAATGAATGACTACTATGTTCTAGGTGCTATTTTAAATGCTGATGGTAACAGGAATTGTTTGGGTTTTGTGGAGGTAATGTTTTCCTGGGACAACATATAGTAAATAATTAAAACAACAAAAAAGATAATTTCATGTTGTGATGGTCTTACTAAAACAAGACATGGTTGTGTGGTAGGGAACTACTGTTCTCTGAACAGACGGAATGTGCTTTGAGAATTGAATGACAAAGGAGAGCCAGAAGGGGAACACTTTGGGGAGGAGTTTTCTGGGTGAAGGGTGGCAGCACAGTCCCATGGCAAGAATGGTTTGGTTAGTCTAAGGGAGAGCCAGGCTAAGGAGGGATAATGAGTATAGGATCTAGTCAGGAAGCAGATGGGGTCTAAACCATTTGGAAACTTTTAAATCATGGAAAGATTTGGTACTTTAAGAACAACAGGAAGCCTTGGGTGTGGAGAGAAGGTTTAACATGGTAAAGATGTTGGAGAGCCTGTGCTTCTAAAGAACCGTGAGGTGCCGGGCGGTGGTGGCGCACGCCTTTAATCCCAGCACTCGGGAGGCAGAGGCAGGTGGATCTCTGTGAGTTCGAGGCCGGGCTGGACCGACAGCCCCCAAAACAATACAGAGAAACCCTGTCTCGTAAAAACCAAAAAAAAAAAAAAAAAAAAAAAAAAAAAAAAAGAACTGTGAGGTGTGATTCATGAAGGTAGGTTCCAGGGAGTCCACAAGAAGGGGAGTGTACAATGGGAAGCTAAAACCAACCTGGGGTATTGTTGGAAATTTCTTTGAAGAGAAACTTTACAAGCCTCTCATTGGTCAAGAAGAGTCTTAAATATCAGCATATATGGTATATCACCAATTCACCCATCAATCAATTTATCCATTCATTCGCCTTTTTCTGTTTTATGTTCCAGAAATGGGAGACCCCTTTTCTCAGCAGTGATGTGCATGCATCCTACTTTTAGAGACTTCATTGTAATAATGGTGACCAATGATGACGAAGATAATCTTCATTTACTCCCTTGGGTTGGTTTCTCCTGAGGCAGAGGTATCAACAAAGACTTGAGTTCAGCTCCTTCATTGGGGGTGGCCCTAGGAATTAGAAAGGTAGTGGGGAGTCATGGAACTAAAAAGAGCCAGTAAATTGTGTAGTCGTGAAAAGGTTGGCATTGTAGGCAACCAATGGCTTCTGGGCAGAACAGACTTTGAAACAGCATTACCAAAATGCAAGATGGCCAACTCACTGTTGGAGGGTGTCCCTAGTGTGTCTATTCTGTCTGCCGTTGCAGGATCCAGACAGCACTTTCAGGGAGACAGTGGAGTAGGATGATGTCAGAGGCTCAGGGAAGGACAGATATGCATGATGCTGATAACGTCCAGCTAGAAATCCGAATGTTACAACTGCGGGCAAAGTCTTTCTCATTTAGCGCTCCCTCGGTGTGGCTTAAATGGCAGCTTCAGCCTGGTATGCCTTTTAATACCAGTGATGGGCTGGGTGTGTGGCCCTGGAACTCAGCACTGGGGACCATTTAACCTTGGTTGTCCTTCCACTCCACTTGCCTGTGTGGTTGAAACTCACTACAGAGAGGTAACCTTTTTCTGAGTTGTAAGGAAATTCCAGGGAGTGGCAAAGGGTAGCACATGTCTTAATGCAGTGCTCATCTCCCTTAGGATGTGGGGACTCATTCTTCTACTGCTGAAGGGACATGGCTGATGCAGGGGTCATCTGAGACACTACTCAGAAGTGGCCCTCAGCCAAAGAGAAAACTCTTTCCAGGTCACAGCTCTTGCTGTGGAGAAACCTACATCTAATAGCTAGTCTGCAAGGGTTTAGCAACCAGATCCTTCAGTTGACCCTAAAGAGCCATCCTAGGCCTAGAGCGGCCGATGGGATAGCCTGAGGTTGTAATCACATGCTGTCTAACTCTTCGTTTTCTTGGTTCTGCTTCATTTGTTCCTCCACACGTGTTAAAGCCCAAATCTTCTCAACAAGCCTCTTACCTCCAAATTTCTGTCATCATATTTTCCCTGGGCAGCTTGGTTCAGTGAAGAGACTATTGTTTATTCCTTCTGATTTGATGTCATTTCTCTTTCGATTGGTAGCTGATGGATTCCTGGCAAGAGCTCAAGCCATGTTCCCTGGCTGATACACAAAAGTCACTGATATTCCTAGGATTTTGAAGATCCTTAGATTTGGGGACATACCACAACATACCACGAGTGAAGCCTTTTCTTACAGAACCCCTGATATCACCCTTGTAATGGAAAAGAGCAATTGGAATGCCCAATGAGTCAGAATTAAGAGACGGTGGCCTATGTCTTATGTGTCTGGCCAAGTTCAAAATGGTTTGTCCAGGATGACATATTTCTCTGACAACTGAATGGCTGTAGAATGTCTGAAGAAGGTGGCAAACATTATGTGTGCATTCAGGAGGACAGCCTACAAACGGGGAAAAAGGAAGAAGGTTTGGAGCTTGGATTTAATATTCCTGGAAACAGAAATGAATGATTTCAATTTGTTTATGTTTGCTTACCATTTAATTCCTAGTGTTCTTATGATGTAATTTGCTTCCCAATTTTAGGATCTGTTTTACATACCAGTAACACCTTACATTTGCTATATATAGTACATCTCATCCAGAGATTGTGTGGGTATCTATCTATAGAGGCACATGCTCATGTTTACAGCCACAGTGTAACTAACACTATACATAGAGAGGGAGAGATGTGAAGTCACCCCTACCCCAGAATATTCTTTGTTATGGTGTAAGTTTGATGGAAGATAACAAACATGATAGAAAAATGTATACAACCTTTTTAAACCTTCTGGCTCAAATGATTAATATGCAATAGACATTTTCATTATTCTCTTTCTTCTTACCAGGCTCAAAATTCATAGACATTCAAAATCAAGCAACAAGAAATATATTTTATTAAATATTTCAGTTTGTACCTATGGAACATTGATAACTGATTAAGTAACTCAATTATAATGTTAAGAAAGATTTTGGGGAAATGATTTTCTCAGAATTCTAAACTATAGTGCTGTACATTGAGAATCACATAAGAAGTTCAAAGGGCACAGTTACCAAATTTTAGACTCATGCAACTTGATGAATTATATAAGAAGAATATTTTATTTATTCAACTTTAAGACATCAAAACTAGGAATGCTTTTCACATTATTTTTCTTACTGCTTCCGGCTTTGTGACTATTCCTGAACGTAATGATTGTATCTGCCTCCAAATATTTAATTTGGTACAAAAGAAGCTTAGACACCAAGGATTTAACATTATTTTACCAAAGATACTCCCTGCAGTATTGGAACAGAGTGAAATACACTGATAGGGGCGTGGCTCAATAACCATCATGTTTAAACACTGAAGGATGAAGTAAATGTACATGTGCAGACCATAGAAACATGATCAAGTCATATTATTGGCCAGTACAAAGAGATGATGATGTAGCATAAATACTATGATTCCTTTGTATATAATTTTATGTAAATATAATGATAACACCAAGTGTGTGAGTCTATAGAAATATTGTGCATGCTTACACACATGAGATTAGTTCACCAAATGCCAATTATGGCCAAGGCTCAGCCACTAAGAGTGCTATTCTTCCAGAGGATCAGTTCTCAGTACCCACATAGTGGCTCACAGCTGCCTGTCACTCTTCTCGAGATCCAGTGCCCTCTTTGGGCCTCCTTGGGCGCTGTACTTATATTGCACAAGTCCCCCCAATACATGAACACATAATTAAAACAAAATACTTAAAAAGACATGTAACCTGTGATTAGTTCTGCTTGAATAGTAGAATTTCAGATAATATTTACTCTCCTTCCCACCTCCTTCTCTCCCTCTGTCTCTCTGCACACTCGCGCACATGCGTGTACACACACATACACACACACACGACCTAGACATTATTTAGGTTTAAAGCTAAGCATGCATAACTTACTGTTGTTTTTCATTGGCTGGCACTTTCCTTGAAGCTCTTTCTCATTTAGCTTCTGAGATAAGACACTGCTCTGGTGTTCCTGCCACAGGCTCACCTTTTACTGCCAGCAGTGACTCTCAGGCATGAATTTTCAAGGGACACATTCAGATCATAGCATAACTTCAGGAAAAAATTCAGATTTGGTTTTGGGGGGTTGATTTTCAGGGTTTTCAGTGCATTTTCAGCTGGTTCCATGTGAGTTTGACTCCCTGAATACTCTGAACGGAGACATGGGGCATTATCAATAACTTACCGTGGGGCCATCTTGCAGAACATGGACTGAATCCTACTTGAGGGTCACTGTTTTAACAAGATCACAGAAGCAGTCACCAGCCTCTAGTGCTCACTGAGATCATATACTACGTGAAAAACCCCGTTCAAGGCACTGATGCTTCATTCTTGTTGTGCAATTATGTTTACACTCAGAACAATGAATGGATAGAAGGGACAAAGGGAAGCAATCCAATTGTACTAGAAGGGTCACAGTGGGACACACTGTGCTCTCCCCCCCACCCCCACATTGCAGCCCCTTTCAGCATGGGCAGCCCCTTGCTTACTACTTACTTCCATGTTTTACGTGGCCAGCTTGCCTCTCGGTCTCCTCAGGCTTCTGTTGCTGTGGCTTTAGCACTGCGCTTCTGGGGCGCCTGTGACGTCCCATGTGCTATCACCTTCAGAGCTTAAGGTTCAGTTTCAGTGTCTGCCTTACTGCGACCTTGTAAGTACTACAGACAGAAACTTTACGCCATCGCCGACTTGTCCTGAAGGTCTTTTTAAAAACATTTTTATGTAATTGTTAAAGATTTTTGTCCCTTCAATTCTTTAAAAAGAGTAATACTCGAATATTTGCCCCAGTTCAGATATTTTAGGTCATCCACAGCTACTTTTTCATTTTGTTCTTCGGGGGACTTGAACACTCCATCCTGCTTTAGCGGATACATAGGATGCTCTGGCCGCTACCGCAGGTTTGTCCTTGGAATCTTTGGAACTTTCCATTTCCCCCATTTCCTGCTTCTCATGGTGTCTTCCTTTTCTTTTTTCTTCTTTGTCTTTTGGGTATCCTCATGAAAAAACCTCCTGACAGAAATAACATGATAAATAAAGGGTTTAGACTTGTGTCTATTTAAGTGTCTTTATTATATACTCAATATTTGTTTTTGTGCATTGTTTTATTATATTTGTATCTACTATTGTGTACTTGATAGATTCATAGGTGCTTGGATGGATAAGTTGGGCATAGAAATTTAGTGCAAAACTTATTTTACTCTGAGATCTTTGGCAGCACATGCATTAAGAAACATAATGACATTGTTTCTAGAATTTTTGAACAGTATGTTCCATATATATCCCCAGAAGGTTTTTAGGATGAAGATAGGTTCTATTGTAAGATCACTGTGTTTCATTTTTTGTGGTAAATATTCTGTGGATCACTTTAGTACAAAAATCTATGTCTTCTATTCTTAAATTTTCTTGATGGCTTTTGAAAAAATGCCTGTCTATTTCTTCCGTGTCTGTGTGTGTCTGTATGGGCATGTGAGTCCCACACTGTACATGTGGAGGTCAGAGGGTAACTGGCGATAGCTGGGTCTTTCCTTCACCCGCTGAGCTGTCTCTCTGGCTTTCTTGTTTTGTGAATAATTAATTGTTGTGCTTGTTAGAATAAAACACACAAACATAACTTTGAATTTCCCTATTTTGAGTTTTTGAAACTATGAATAGTTGGATGCTGAATTTTCTGGATTTCTTTTCTCTTACTTCTTTTAATCTTTTAATGTATTCTCCTTAAAATATTACCTCAATTTTATATTTAAAATCCTTGTTTTTTTCAGTTTTTGCTGTTATGTTGTTAATTTCCATGTAGATTTTCAGGGTCCCTATCTAATGCCTGTATCCATAACCCCATCCTATTTACACAGACAGTAGAGTCCACCAACTCTGTGCTTTAACCCACGTCTGTACAGACGAGGTTACTAGAATTCTGAAGTTACTTCATTTGGCTAAAATGAAGGTATTAACAGGTATCTGTGATCTTGGGCAAATTACTTACTGCCTCTCTCCTCATTTGTGAAATTAACAACTTCCTATGCAAACCTTAAAAAGAGGTTTATTTTGGTATAACTTTACATATTGTGAAAAGACTTTCTTCATACTCCTCACCCCAACCCCTAGCCTATTATTTTTGCTCTATCACTTTCTAAAATATGTATGCCAGTGGGTCCCGTGCTCCGGGTCACATCAGATTTTGACTTAGTTACTTTTTAAAGTTTCTCAGGATGGGTAGATAACTCAGTGGGTAAAGATGACATGATGTCTGGAATCCACTTGGTGGAAGGATGGAACTGACTCCCACAAGTTATCCTCTGATCTCCACACATGCACCATGGCTCTCATGCACAGGAATGCACACACACACACACACACACACACACACACACACACGCACGCACACACGCACACACGCACTATATGTAGAAATAAAAATTCTCCAGTTTTGTATATCCTTTCTCTTTTTGTCTTGGTGTCTGTGAGGCAAGGTCTCATGTACTCAGTCTGATCTTAGACTTGCTATGTAACCGAGGCTGGCCTTGAACTCCTCACTCCCTTGCCTGAGTGCTGGGATCACAAGCATGCTTGAGCAGACTTGGTCTCTTGTTGATTCACTTTTATCATGCCTGAGGCTGAAACACCTGACAGAACAACTTGCAGGAGAAATGACTCCTTCTCCACGTGGCCATTTGGTTCCACGTGTCTTGGCTTGCAGTGAGTAGAGCCTGTGCGAGCCTTCAGTCCATGTGGTCATGAGACCACCGTGCATTAGCATGGGTCTAGAGAGCCAGTGCAGACACATCAGATTCGGGTTTCACCAACCTCCTGGGTGGGTCTCAGTCTACCAACTCGGTACCTTAACCCAGGTCTGCAGAGACAAGGCTACTGGAATTCTGAAATTGGCTTCATTGGGCTGAAATGAAGGTATTGTTTAGCAGGTCTCTCTTCCTTCTGGAGCCTCTTGAGGAGAACATGCTTCAATGCCTCTTTGCCTCCTAAAGCAGCTGGCTAACAGACTAAAGGCTGTATGACTTCAACTCAGTCTCACCTTACTCTTCCATATTGAAGGACTCTGTCTCCATTGGACCTACTCATATTATCCAGAGTGAAGGACCCCATCTCCATTGGGCCTACTTATATTATGCAGAATGAAGGACTCTGTCTCAATTGGACCTATTTATACTTATATTATGCAGAATGCAGGACCCCATCTCCATTGGACCTACTTATATTATCCAGAATGAACTCCTTATTTGGAAGGCAGCTAACTAAAACCTCAGTTCTATCTGCAATCTTAATTCCCTTTCTCCGTGTAAAGCAGCATAGAGACAGATCTGAAAAATCAAGATATAAGTGCTTTTTTCTTATTTTTTTTTTTTTGCTTTACCACACATACACATCTTTCTTTAAGCACTTCCGTTTTGTCTGCAAAAAATAAAACAAAGCCACAATAACAAAGCAAAAACCCATTTCAGGCCTTCCTGGGAAGTGTCTGCCTGCCCTGGCCTGGTCATTCATTGCCGCAGCTGGTCTTCGAAGTACCGGGGTTGCTGTTGTAACTCTTGTCCAGCGAAGGAACCGCGGGAGGTCAGTCATGCAGCCTGACCGGTTTTGAGAGCAGTAAAGAGAGCAGATACCGAGCACACGCCCCTCACCTGTGCTAACTGTCGGTGTGCAGATGTCTCACTAATGGAAAGTCTCAACGCTGTCAGACGATCTGCAGAGCATGTGTGTAACCTTGGTAAGTGGACATGGCCACTATGTGGAGCCTCATCTGCCATCTGCAAATTATCTCTTGACTGAGAACAGTGAACTGTAGGACACTCTTGTGTTGACTTTAAAGTAATGAAAGTCTGTGTGTCCCATGTTGTTTGTCTAAGTAATTTCTCCGGTAATCAAGTGTGTGTATATATATATTCATGCTATATTATTTTCTGTCATTAAAGCTCGATTCAAGAATTTATCAATGAAACATTAATAACTACCTTGGGTTCCAAACAGGAACTTTAAACACATTGTTTGTTCACATTCTTGATCTGAAGTTACTGATTCATTTCAGGATTGACTTGGATAATATTTCCATCACAACCTAATTAATGATGTTGATTTTGGCATAACATTTACGTTTTTATTTTATTTTGTGTGTGTGTGTCTGTGTGTGCAAAGATGGCGCGTATGATTTGACAACATGGGCCAGAAATAATTCTCAGTGCCACAGGAAACTGTAGGGATATTAACCACCCACCCCAACCAGCACTTATAATAGAAACAGGCCTCTGCCATAAAGCCTCTCCAACAGGCCTTGTAACTGGAATGGCGTGAGCAGGTGCTGCCACCATAAAGAAGCCAGCCTCCCCATGAACAAATATGAAATTAAAAATATCAATCAGTCTGCAGCTTCGGTTCTGTCGGGCCTCAGCATCCCTTCCTCCAATGACAGCAAGCCCAGGGTCGTCAGTGTGTCGTTAACAGGTTAAAGACCTTTAGAGTATTCTTTTAAAGTATTCCAGGCAGTTGGCTCGGTTCCTTGCACAGTTGCTACACTGGAATCTGCATGGAGAGCTGATGGGACTCCCAGTCCGTGGGCAAGTCCTCCAGCCCTGGCAGCTGTCAGAACTCCGTGGGACTTTGCAAAATGGGCTGGAGACTTAGGGTGAGCAGTGGCACCTCCTTTAGGAAAAGCCATTTATTCCTTAGCATGTGATGTCAACCAGACTGGCAGGATCTCATGTTATTGACTCCATTAGGCTCTATACCCCTCCTGCTATGCCTCTCTTCTCTCTCTCATAGGTGGCAGGCTACCTCTCCTTAGCCGTGGAGAACACCCGAGCTGCTTTCTGTGGTACCCCTCTCGCTCCTGTCCCTGTTCTGAGATTCCTCGACATTCAAAAACAGAAGGCAAACAAAAACGAGCCAGCCCGAGTGCTTCTCCTGCTTCCACTTATCATTTTGGTTACACAGCATGGTGACCCCACCTCCCTGCTCGCTGATGTGATTGTCTGGACGACCAAGTCTGGCTGAGGAGTCTGCCTTCCCCTCCATCCCTGTTAAACTAGAGCTGAAACTCCTTTCTGTCAGGACTGAGGCGCTGCCGCTGAGCATGGCTCTGGACGTGCTTCCCCAGCCTTCCCTACTAGAGTCCTGTGAGGTCCTGAGTCATCGTCACAACGATGCTTGCCTCTGCTCTGCCTCGTGAGATTGCTGATGGCCCACGGGACACACGCCTGAGCCAGAGCAGGCCACTTGGGAACTTTCACCGTTACGCGTGTGGAGACTGACACGTATCTATAATTGTATCTGTTATTATCTTTTGATGCTGTGGCTGAAACAACTCTTGGGAGGAAGGATTTACTTAGGTACAACCCACTGGGTGGGGTGGGAAAGGCCTGAGGGCGGGGCCAGATCTGTTGGTGAGGTCAGAGCTTTGGTCTGGCCACGTGGTGGTAGGAATGAGAGTGTGGTGACCCAAACATTTTAAAATTTGCTTTCTTTGTGTGGGTTTTATTTACTGTGACTCTACTATACACTT